TTTCAATGTCCATGTTAACATATGACCAGTGTACAGTAGTTTTAGTATACATACAATACACACAACATTTGTATCTATTTAATCCCTCTGAAATTTAATGCAAACAAATTATGTTGTCTTTTCTTTCAAATCAACAAATTAAATATACCTAAAGCTAAAATTTATACAATGAAATATCCGATACTATTTATAAATTCTATTTGTAATACTCATTGATTATTATTTAACTCTTAATAGAATAGATTGGGGTTAAATAGGTGGGCAGAACATTGTGTTGTTTAGATGAATAGACAATTTTTCTTCGTTTAAAGGTAATAGCTGTTTCCAGTGTACTAATTCTGTTCCTTCAAATAAAACTTTGAATGAGCAGAAATAAAAGCGCAAGAGAAGCCTTATAATGTGCAAGGAATATGAGCTTCTGGATACAAAAATTAACAATTATCTTTCTTTAAATTTCTGTTGATAAACATTCGAATATTTTTATTCACTCCTTCACCCGAATGCTTTAACTTATATATATCTAGATTTATATATTTTCAATAGACAATATACAACATTTTAATCATCTGTTATTATTATTATGGAAATTCAAATAATTACTGTTCATTACTATTACAGTACTTACTTTTTCATTGTGTTTTGGTAGTAAAATCAGCGCTTTCACTTTAAACAAAACAAATATTGGTATGAATAGGTTTATGTTATAATAAAGAAAGAAGAATGATGGTGAATTAATCCATAAATTGACTATTCAAAATTATATAAGTTGAAACCATAGCAACGTACAATACGTGGACGCCTATTGCATCGACAAGGCTTCACCACCAACTAACCTAATTGATGATATTTAGATTCATCAGGAATATTCCAAAAAACATCAGTAGTCAATACTGTTGTAGGAACTAGCTTTTGCTAAACTTGGTTTTATCACATTTATAGGGATTAAGGTTGTACCGTATCGTAGTAACAGTCCTGTATAGAATGTATAACCTTATATACATGCCAATGCTGTATTTGTTTTAAATTTCCTTATTGCTTAAAGTTTAACTATAGGCCTATGTAATAATAGTGTTTGATAACGAATGATTACATTGAGAGAATTATGTATATATGAGAATTCTCTGTACGGCCTACATGGACTGTAATTTTATATTTTGTTCCTATTAATTTGTGTTAGGTTTTTGTTTGTTTGATTACATGCATGTTTATTGCTTTAGAATTTTTTATTTTTATTTTTTTTGGTTTGATTTTGAAACTAACTGTATAGTTTAAAAATGCTATTTATATCTTAAAAACAATAATTTCTAATAACATTTTTATTCACAGCATATAACATTATTTTTTGCAAACAATGTGAATTTACAATTTATATAGGTCTATATGGAGTAAGACGGGGTTTGTAAATTTTTCAATTTTGATTGCCCTGTGACCTCCTTAGAAATGATTACGATAGTATTGTATGATGATTGTTATTAATATTAATATCACACAAATAACTGCTGTATACAAAGAATATTTGTGGTTGTTTGTTATAGGGCTTAACGCAGTACACTACTAATGTATGAGATAGCCATGCACATTAATTTTATATCTGTAGGCCTATAGTGTGTAACAAAAATAAAAACCGCATGAATGGGAGGAGCATAGACCTGATTGTTTAATTAATTGATTGAAACATAATTAAATGAAATGTAATGTACATTTCAACAATGGCTACTGCCTCGAAATAACCAAGACAGTGTATTTCCATTGATATGAAACTGAGCGTAATAAAAGCATATGAGAACCACGAGTCCAATTCAGCGATTGGAAAACGGTTGGGACTTTCGAAGTCCTGGCTCTTATACACATCT